ACAGTTGTGGTATCTCCCCTTCTGCCCTGGGCTATTCACATTTCCTATATCCTCCTATCATGCCTTCCCTCCTTCCAGCGGCATTCATGAAAACCCTTCATACTCCACGCTGTCGTTATCACCCCCTTCACCCTTGTGCTGGGAATGTTGACCAGTCTGTCATATTGTTACGTAGTCTTTCCCTGGATCCTATCAGTCTCCCTCTTGCCCCGTAGAATCCGTCTGCTATCTCCCTAGTACATGTCTCTTGTAAAACCTACTGTCAGCCCACTAGCTCCCGTCGCCGCCGCGTCTATCCTGTTTATATGTCTAATACCAAATCTATGACTTGCTATGTCCTAGTCGCTAGTGTGCCAACCCACAAATGTTGTGGTACTACTTGCTTTGATTAGGATCAATGTTGAACCACAACGTATGTGGGTTGGCACACAAACATGTTAAACATGTTGCGGTCGAAGCATGTGCGGATGATCTATATGAGCCTTTCATTTTAAAAACAGTAAAATATCCAGACTTTAGCTAAATCTGCCAACAATTTAAGCATCAGATACAATCAAGAGATGTCAGTATCGAGAAGTGAAAATAAATGGCAATTGTTGACCAATTTGATGTTCTTCTGAAATTGCTTGATCTTTTTCTATGTATTTTAAGGGCGAATAGATGAATTTATCTTGTTCGGAGCGCTCTGTTATAGTAGTCATGATAAGTTCAGATTAGACCATGGTCCTGATACACTTCCAGATGTTTCGTCGACATGGAGGATTGTCTTATTCCCAAGTTTGCCATAGCACTATACCCCTAAAGACCGAGCTAGTACTGTGCATGCTTACTGGGTTGGTTAATCTGATGGCCAGACAGTTTGCTCAAGGAAGGGGAGATATCATAATCGCTCAGCAAAAAGACCATACATATGATTGATAAGTTGTATAATGGTGTTAAGAATGCCAAGGCTCAATATGATGTAGGCAGGACAAAATGTACCAACTCCATGGTCAGACGCTGAATATTGTGGCAAAGAACTCAAGACAAGGTGTGTTTATTCAGGTCCCTTAGGTAGCATGACTAAGCTGCGAAAATATGGTTAAACCACATGTATATGGCGAAATAAGACAGCGCAAAATAGATATCACACTATCTTGATCTTCATTGCTTAGATTAAATGTAATTTTGTCTTGTAAGATAAAATTATAGGAATAATTATCAAAGCATTGTATTATAATATCAAATAGCAGAAGGCTTGAAAAATTACGGCCAGGCACCAAATTTTAGCACTATAAAATATACAATCAATAGAGTGATTAATACGACGAAATTTATATTTACGAATCAAAGATGAAGTTAGGATCTAGAGTAAAGGTTAGTCATAAAAATAAAATTTCATAAAGAATCTGCGATACATGCCTGTGAGTTGTTTGAAACTGGGGAACTAGTCTCAGTAATTCGTGACACCTTCGATTCAGCTGATTTTTGCTGCCTATCTCGCTCTGTTTTTCCAATGCGCTCTCGGGGTTTGTCAATCGGGGACGATCTCGGCTCTTGAAACTGTTGAAGATCTGCCGTTATGTGCTGAATACGTTCAAACAAGCCTGCCTCTGTCTCTTCTAGTTGATGGTGATGATTCAGGTAAGACATGCTGATCACATTATGTGATATACCAGGCTCATCAATTGTGTCATCATGACTCTGACTAGCTCTAGTAATCTGAGTTGACTGAGCAGCTTCTGGGCCGTTGGCGATGTTGTCTACTAATCGAGCGGACCGATGTAATGATGAGGTTGGGACTACAGTGGTTCTAGCGCTGGCATCACTAGGACCAATAGATATATCGAATTGGCCAATTTGGTCGACTTGGCTCGGTTCAGATCGCCCGGATACGGGAGTAGGCTGATAGTTGCCCGACCGAAGAGCATTTAAATGATCCTCAGTGGCTTTTGAGGTGATTGGGTTTACTGAAAGGCCTGAAGTAGGATCTGTGTTTGAAGAAATATCAGTGGTAGTGAATTCTAGTTTAGCTTTGGCTTGGTCACTGCTTACAATTGAATCTACATGGTCACAAGAGCGAGGAGAGCTGGTCACAGAACAGGAGAACTGAGAAATAAGACGTTTCTTTGGGTTGATGTGTGGGGTTAGAGCAGCGAGGCCCGAAGCACTAGATATTGGGCAAGTGAAGAGGCTAGATTGACCAACCGGAGTGAGACAAAGACTAGAAGGCAAGTTTAGCTGAGTGTCAGAAGAGAAGCAGCCAGGCTGTTCGTTCCCTCCATCTTCTAGGAGAGCCTGAATATAAAAAATTATAAAAAATTGGGTAAAAGAAGCAGTCAAGTGAAAACATAGTGACCGAAATCGATAAAGAAACTTACTTGAGAAAGCCAACGTTTCTTTGTTGGTCTCATTGTGGCCCCAGTAAACCTAATGAGTGAGGAGGTAGATAGTTGAGCTAACATAAGCTCGGGCTTATTAAGACCGGTCATTGAAATAGGAAGTTGTGAG